AGTTTGAAAAGACTGTCCTGGCCAAGCTTGACAGAGGGAATCAGATTCAAGGTGATAGGAATGAAAACAGACATGGTTCTGTACACTGGCAGGATTCTGATGCTGATCGGAATTGTTACAGTGAACAAGAAGCTCAGAGTGATGGGAGTGAAAGTGATTGCACTGTCCACTCTGAAGGCCATGCGACTGATATGCCGTCTGCACTGTTGTACGGGTCTAACTCCTCTTCAGCAGACAGATCGCATAGACGTTTACCCAAACACAGAAACAGAGGTCGTAAATCAACAACGCCTGTTTATGAAACACCAAAGGTCATCAAATTCCTTAGAGAGACTGTCCCACAATTTTCTAGAGGTTCAGGAAACATATCTGAACATCTGGAAAATTATGATAGAGCAATGAATTCATTGGGCATGTATGATGACATTCATAAGAAATGGTTCATTACATGGACCTTTGATTCAATGTGTCGTGTTTATCTAGAAAGTCTTCAAGCTATACAGTTAATGTCCTGGTCCAAGATGAAATATGAAATAATCATGGAATATGGTAAGTATAAAACCATTGCTTCTGCAAAGAAGGCGCTTTATAACTTAAAGTGCCGTCCAGATCAAAGCCCCAGAGAATGGATGGCGAATCAGAGAGTCACAATGTGATAGCAAAATGTTTACTATCTATTTCCATCGGAAATAAGACCGTTAAACATTTATTCCTAGTGATAGACGAACCTCGCTATCAGGTTTACGTTGGCAATGATGTCATACATCGCTTTGCCATACACCTTGATCTGATTAATTCCAACTTGTGGACAAGGTTAAAAGGTAATCCTTGTGGATACCTACACGAGGAAAACGCCCTGAAATCAGGACAAATACTCCCATATGCGGTAAGTATCCAAGTTCCTGATGACATAACCATTCCACAGGGGACAAGTAACTTTCTTTTACCCCTACAGGTCAAGGAGGGTCAGAGATTGGAAAACTCTGATGCCCTAATCTGTTTATCCAACAGGATACAACAATTAGGGATGGTGGTAACACATACACCAATGGTAAGTATTGGTAAGAATCCCACCTATATCATGGTCAACAATGTTACACCCAATAGTGTTACTTTACCAAAAGGAACATCATTAGGTCTAGCATTGGATGCTGAGTACTATACATTTGGTTTCCAAAACCAAATTATAGGCCTCATCCCTGAAGAATACTTAACTGAGGACGAAATTGTCGATCAAATATTCCATTCCTCCCCAGAAGGATTATTCACTATCCTATCTGTATATCCCTTCAACGTTGAAGAAGGCTCGTGTAAAATCGAAGAAGCATCTATCACCTTCGATCATCCGCTCAATGAGCAGGAATCACAAGAGTATCACGACCAAAGAGAAAAGGTAAGTCAACACCGAACTGACCTAACTTCTAGGCTTGAAGAAGCTTATGAGATAGGCCAGCCTGAAATCTTTCCAGGATTTCAGGAAAGGCTAGAAGAGCAAATATCTTTAGCTGACGGTTGCTCCAACGATGCTGAGCGGCAACAGCTAAAGGAAATCCTAATGGAATTCCAAGATATTTTTGCCAAAGATTCCTACGACTGTGGGTTAACTAACCTCCACGTAGCCAGAATACAAACTGATCCAAATTTACCACCTGTATTTATCAAACAATATAGACTCCCATTAGCGTCATATGATGGTCTACAAGACATCATTCAGAATTTAAAGGAAATGGGCATTATACGTCCAGTGCACAGTTCGTATAATAATCCGATCTTGGGGATTCTGAAACCTAATGGACAATGGCGTTTATGCGCTGACTTACAACAGCTAAATAAACGCGTCTATATGTCTGGTTGGCCAACGCCATACATAGACCAATGTTTGGTACAAATGCAGGGATCCAAAATATTCACTGCCATTGACTGTGTGCAGGGATATTGGACTGTACCAGTCCATAATGAAGACCAATACAAATTGGCCTTCACATTTGGAAAGCAGCAGTATACCTGGACCCGTATGCCTTTCGGTTATATAAACTCTGGTCATGAATTCGCTGTGTTCATGCATAAAGCTATGCCTGACGCACTCGAGAGAGGAACGTTATCATATGTCGACGATGTCTTGCTGAAAAGCACTTCCTTTGATAAGCATATCTTAGAGATTAGACATGTTCTCACTCAGTTAAGAGATGCAGGGATTAAACTGTCTTTACAAAAGGCGCAATGGTGTCGCACCCATGTCAGTTTCCTCGGACATGAGGTAACTTCTGAAGGATTAAATCCCCAGAGGAAGAAGGTTGAAGCCGTACTAAAGGCTAAAACACCTTCAAACATCAGGGAATTAAGATCGTTCCTTGGTATGACTAATTACTCCCGTAAGTTTATAGATAACTATGCAGAAATAACTAAACCACTCTTACACCTGCTTAAAAAGGAAACTACCTGGAACTGGGGGGAGCCTCAGGACCAAGCTGTAAGTGAACTGAGGAGGAAGCTCACTCAGGCACCCTGTTTAGCATACCCAGAGGGAGGTAAACCCTTCTATCTGGAGACAGGATATACCGACTTAAGCATTAGTGCTGTTCTGTATCAGAAGCAGGACAGTTTAAACAAAGTTATTGCATATGCTAGCAAGACTTTGTCACCTGTTGAAGTTAAATTCAACACGTGTGAGAAGGCGTTATTGTCGACTGTCTGGGCACTACAAAATTTTCGTAGCTATATCCAAGGTGAGAAAATAATTGTAGAAACAGTTTACCAACCTCTACAGTATCTGCAGAGTGAAAGAATTAGAGACGGTAATCTCTCTAACAGTCGGATTACTGCATGGACTCTATCCTTACAGGGATGGCCGTTAGAAGTCCATTATAAACATAATAAGAGAAGCCCAGATGCCCAAGGTTTAGCAGAATTACATGACTGTACTGCTCCATCTCTGCATGATAATGACACCGGAGATGACTTCCTAGAAGAGCAATTGCTATCTCCTTATAAAGTTTATGACGAGGAATACTGTCGACCACTACCGTGGGTATACATTGATGGTTGTTCATATCACCACGTCATTGGTGCTGAACGGAAGTTAGTTGCAGGTATCGGAATCGCCTGGACAGGTGATTATCCTAATGTATCTATAGGATACAATATTGGTCCCAAAAGCAGTCAGATAGCCGAACTCTGTGCAGTATATAAGACCATTCAAATGGCAATAGAATATGGTATCAAAGAATTTGTTATCATAACTGATTCCAACTATGTTCGCAACAGTTTCGTCGAATATCTGCCTAGCTGGAAACGTAACCAAATGCTGAAAAGCAATAACAAACCTGTTAAACATGGGAAATTGTTTTGTAAAATTGCTGAACTGGTTAAGGAAAATGGTTTAACCATATATTGGAAGAAAACCAAAGGCCATTCTAAAATAGAAGGTATTGACAAGGATGGTAACGACTTAGCCGATTCACTGGCAAAACAAGCTGCCATCAATGGTGAAACCCTAAACATTGATGATCTTATGGGTTCAATTCATGTTGAAGCCATAACTAGACGACAGGCTAGAGATAATGCCGACTTAAACGTCGTGCAATGGAGTCAAGAAGCTCCTAGTGAGGACCTGATTACTAGTCAAAAGAACGATCCCGTCATAGGCATATTCTATAGACATATAGAAGACCCTACTGCCAATCCCATCACAGATGAGGATTGCAAAGTTAATGAAGATTTACGAATCTTGATGAGATATAAAGTCCAATTTAGTATCATGGATGGGTTACTGGTCAGAACTTCTAAACATGGTATACAACAATGGGTAGTCCCAACTGTATACCGAGGGTTAATGCTCCAACACGCACATGATGCACCTACATCTGGGCATCGTGGTGATAAGATCACATATGAGATATTGCGTGATTATGCATATTGGCCACACATGTTAAGAGATGTTAAGACATACTGTCAGGGATGCTTGATTTGTCCGCAATATCAACCCCATGGTCCAACCCATCGTGCACCACTTCAGAAGAGGGGGGTGTCATTACCCTGGTCTGATATTCAAATTGACTTTATAGGTCCTGTAACAAGATCTTCAAGAGGTAACAAATACATGTTAACCGTTACATGTATGTACACAAAGTGGATAGAATGTTTGCCTTGTAAAGAGAACACGAGTACCGTGTGCGCCACTTTGTTGATTAACCATGTCTTTTCCAGGTTCGGTCTGCCTCAAAGAATTGAGTCAGACAGAGGTAGTCATTTTACCAGCGAAGTAATGGCTAAGATGTGGAACATTCTAGGTGTTAAACGAAAGCTACATATTGCATACCGCGCTGCGTCTAGTGGGGGGGTAGAGCGATATAACCAGTCTATCATTAATATTCTGAAGAAATATGTTAAGGAGTCTGGTAAAGACTGGGACATTAAATTGCCCCTAGTTTTAATGGCGATTAGAGCTACACCTAGCACACTACCAAATTGTCACCTTTTGAATTGATGACAGGAAGAAAGATGGTTTTACCACAGCATTTACTATATCGTACTTCGGATCATAACTTGATCAATGCTGCCACTACGCATCAGTATATCGAAGATTTGCGCAAGCATTTACAGCATGCGTTTGCTTTTGCCCAAAAGAATCTAGAAAAAGCAGCGACAGGGGTTAAGACCTATTACGATCTAAAAACCACGAAAAAGGAATATGAGATAACAGATCAAGTCTATCTGTATAACTTTGCGCGAAACCAAGTCAAGGAAAATAAATTTTTACCTTCTTGGAAAGGGCCATATGTCATCATTGACAAAATTTCCCCAGTAGCGTACAAGATAAAAATTCCTAAGGATGGTGATTTTATTGAAAAGTGGGTTCACATTAACCAGTTGCGTGCTTGTCATCCTAAATCTCAATTAAGGATTATAGGTGTGGATTCAGACGCAGAAGGGTGAACGACTAACCTGGATGAATGCTTGATTCACGTGGTATAGTATGATGTGAATTGTTGTGATGTGCCATGATCTCATGTACGTTCATGTCATTAACCATTTCCTTGCCATCCAATAACTACATTTTTAAGCAGGTTATTAGCTTGTTTAAATGCTATAGGCAAATTGCTGAAGAGTCAATAATAAATGTAGTGAGGGATGAAGTTATAAAAATAGAATTATAGAGAATACATATGTTGATGAATCGTAATAATGTGTTATCCTAGGCCAAGTGATGTCACACTGTTATAAGTTTGTATGCTTAACAAACCTTGAATCATTAGTAGATAAGTCTGAAACGAGTTCCTGATCCGTGACTGTCGAAAGATGTCCAAGAAGGATGTGGCGTGTTTCTGGATCGTACTGCTCCTGTGCCAAGAGCTACGGACCGACCCGATCGCAGAGATGGGACCATCCTCCGGCATCCTGATTCAAGAGACACCAGGGTTCATCTTGACAGAGAAGAGGATCTGACCCGACGTGTGTTCGTCAGCTTGGACCCCAAGATTTCCATCGAGAAGGCATACAACATTTCATCGATGCAGCTTCCTGAGTTAGAGACTTGGTACCAAATGCACCTCCAAAGAGCACAGGACCGTGTGCGAAACATCTTGGAGCAAGCCCGGAAACCATTTGTATCCAGTTCTATTCCGATGAGCAACCGACCCAAAAGGTTCCTCACCGCTATAATTGTTGCATTAGTTTGTGCCACTGTCGGTGCAGTTGTCGCAACTGGAATGTCTGCAGCCAACTCTATTACTGTCCAAAAGCTGGATATGGAAATCTATGCGCTAAAGCAACACATTAACGATATTCATCAGGTGATACAACAGTAAAGCACACTTCTCCAAGACGTGTTAACTATTGTGGAAGACACAGTTGTTACAACAAATTTGCATTCAGAATTAATTGCCAAATCCACTGAGTTGCACCAAAGTCATGACTTATTTAAGCGTGAACTTCTATTTCTCCATGACCCAATATTGTTCCACACACTTGCTTTTCTCGACGAAGTGCAAACTGGAATGATCGAATTGGCAGGGGGACGCATACCTCTGTACTTTGTATCCAAGGATATTGTTCATGCGATGCTTGCCAATGTGGATGGAGAGACAATTGAGCCTATGCAATTCAATCTGGCCTTTGAGATGGGGAGCCCTATACCTCTCTTAATTGATCCGGAACGTATGGAGATTTGCTTTTTATTGGCCATACCATATGTAACTCCCAAAAACATTTTTCAAATGAAAATAATGTACTATGTTAATAATGATATTATGGTTGATTGTACTAAGTGTAAAGTTCAAAACTATTACAGGTACAAATATATACAAAAATGTTCATTCCACGCACGGGCCTATGTTAGAAATGATGTGATTGCACAATATGTCTGGTAACTTCTATAGTGCTTATTCATAAGCTAAATTAATTTTGGCTATGAAATGCACTAAAGGGGGGTTATGTCAGGGTATTTATATCGGCAGACATCTTGTGCTATGATAGAAATTAAAAGTGTATATTCTGAGTCACTCTGAACAGAGCAGACTCCATTTTGTTATTTCCAAGTTAACAAAAAGACACAAGATTTCTATCTGTAAACTAACCACTTTCCCAGAGCTAAAGGAATGCATAGTATAAACAAAAGTGATAAGAAGAACGGGGGTTGGATAGACTGTCTATATGTATAAGGTCCCATTGTAAGTTACGGGTCAAAACTCAGATTTGCCAGACACATAGTCTGGACAAAACTTAAAGAAACTGTTTTTATCTGACAGAAAATCTGAGTTATGGCACTATAAAGATAGGCCAAAATGACGTCAAAATAGCCACCAAGAAAAGTTAACTCTTTCCTGGATAGGTATTTTTAGTGGGACAAGACTGCCCTCTATAGACCAAATACCTAAATTGCGATCTGGAAGATAACCACACCTCTAGTGCTTCTGTTGGGTTATCAACTGATGACGTACAGAGAGTCTGGCCCTTTAAAAGTTAAGACAAAGGGAAGATAGAGATATGCAAAGGAGAAGGAAAAAGAGGAGAGAGGAATTGGAAGTTTGGGGACTCCAACTCGGACATACATAAGAATAGATCTTAACTACTTAGGAGATCTAGCCAGCATTGAAAGGGTTATTCTAACTGTTAGCAAGGGTTTTATGGCCCTTCGCTGTGAAAAGTTTCACTTTCAGTCTGTGTTAAAGATACCTCATAAATCAGAAGACTTGACAGATAATGCTGTTTAGCCATTGAGACGTGTGTAGCCATTTCTTTGTATTGCATATCATTTTTATACTGGATATTCATTGATTATTGTCACGCATGTTGCATATTATTATTATTAATTAACTTGTTATTATAAATAAAATCTATTTTTATACATTGTGATATTATTTATATGAAATACTTCTCACTTACGATAAACGTTCTTTGGGATCTGAGAATTGAATTAGTGGGCAATTCTCACTGTTACTATTATTATCCCATAAATATCCCCACAGCTTCATAAAACCATGCTGATTTTTGCTGATAACCATGTTCTTCTCAAGGAATTCTTGAATATTATCCCTTAATAACCTTTCAAATATTTTACCAGCCACAGAAGTTAAGCTCACAGGTCTATAATTTCCAGGCAAGGATTTTGAACCCTTTTTGAATATAGGAACCACATCTGCCTTCCTCCAATCCTCCGGAACACTTCCTGAAAGAAAAGAATCTTGAAAGATTAAAAACAGAGGTTCACTTATTTCTGCACTTAGTTCCTTAAGTACACGTGGATGGATACCGTCAGGCCCTGGAGCTTTGTTTATATTAACTTTCTTTAGTTGCTGCAGCACCTTGTCTTGAGTTAACCAATTACAATTATTCTGCAAGTTTTTAGTAGCAATCATTTGCACATCTATTGCCATGGGTTCTTCCTTAATATATACGGAGGAGAAATAGTTATTTAAAATTCCTGCCTTTTCCTGGTCTTCATTAATTAACACCCCCGTTTCAGTTTTTAGTGTACCTACACTTTCATTTTGTTTTTTTTTAGAATTTATGTACTTAAAAAATGCTTTGGGGTTGGTTTTGCTCTCTTCAGCTATCATTATTTCATTTTGAAGTTTAGCAAGTCTAATTGCCTTTTTGCACGCATTATTTGCATCCTTATATCTTTTATAAGATGCATCTGATTTGTCCGATTTAAATGCTTTAAATGCCCTTCTCTTAGTTGTAATCTCTTGTTTTACTTCTCTACTAAGCCACGTTGGTTTTAATTTGTTTCTTTTATATTTATTTCCCAATGGTACATACTGAGAAATGTACCTTTGTAATATTTGTTGGAAGATGATCCATTTATCTTCAGTGTTCTTTTCACTAAAGAGTTTATGCCAGTCAATATATTGTAAAGCTTCCCTTAACTTATTGAAATTGGCCTTTTTAAAATTATATCTTTTAGTATTCCCCATGTGCTTTTGTTTTTTTTTGAGTTTATTTCAAAGGACACTATATTGTGATCACTATTTCCCAAGTGCTCACCTACTTGAATGTTGGTCAAAAGATCAACGTTGTTTGTTAAAACCAGGTCCAGACAAGCATCCATTCTAGTTGGTGCTTGTACAAGTTGTGACATGAAGGTGTCATTTAACAAGTTTAAAAACCTAATTCCCTTTGCTGAGGCACTAGTCCCTCTGTCCCAATTTATATCCGGGTAATTAAAATCTCCAATAATTAAAGTGTTACCCAGATTTGCAGCTTTCTCAATTTGCTCAAACAGCTGTTGTTCCTCGTCAATATTAACATTAGGTGGTTTATAACATATCCCAACCAATAGTTGGTTTCCCTTCTTTTCCCCCAAGCAGATATTTACCCATAAAGCTTCCACATTATCCTCCTCGCATTCCATTTGCTTAACATTTGGCTTTAAATCATGTTTGACATACAAACATACCCCACCACCCTTCTTGTTTTTCCTATCCTTCCTAAATAACATGTACCCATTTAAGTTAGCTGCCCAGTCATGTGTCTCATCCCACCATGTTTCAGTTATGCCTATTATATCATATTGTTTAGTGTATGCTAATGCCTCTAGTTCCCCCATTTTGTTATTTAGGCTCCTTGCATTAGTAAGCATACATTTAATATTATGTGTCACTTGTATATTTTGTGAATTTTCAACATTACACAGCTTCTCTGTTCTGAGCTTGCCCCTCCCCCCGTTTCCACCCCCCTTATACTGTGCTAAAGCCCATCTCCTTTCTGTCCTATCTCCATTTTGTAGATTGCTATGACCCTCCCCCCCTACTACTAGTTTAAAATCTCCTCCAACCTTCTAGCCATCCTATCCCCCAGCACTCCAGACCCTCTCCCGTTTAGGTGCAATCCATCACCACTATAAAGGTTGTACCCAATCGCAAAGTCGGCCCAGTGCTCTAAAAACCCAAAACCCTCCTTCCTGCACCAAGACTTAAGCCACGCATTGACCTCTCTAATCTCCCGCTGCCTTTCCACTGTAGCGCGTGGCACAGGTAATATCTCAGAGAATACCACCTTGGAGGTCCTTTTCTTAAGTTTGCTACCTAATTCCCTGAAATCATTCTTTAGGACCTTCCATCTTCCTCTTACTTTGTCATTGGTACCAACATGGACCATGACCGCTGGGTCATCCCCAGCCCCTCCCAATAATCCATCCACTCTGTCAGCAACATGCCGGACCCGAGCACCCGGGAGACAGCAAACTGTCCGGTTGAGCCGATCAGAGCGGCAGATTGCCCTATCTGCTCTCCTAATGATAGAGTCCCCTACCACCACAACCTGTCTTGCCTTCCTTACATTTTGATCCCCACCCGTACTAGGGGGGCTGTTAGCTCGGCTGTTAGAAGTAACAGCTTCCTCTAATACAGCTACTCCTGAGCTGATGCTCCCAACATCTTCCCTCAAACGGGCAAATCTGCTAGGTTGCACCAAATCAGGACTAGCTAGCCCTTTCCTCTTCCCTCCCCCCCTGCTTCCTCGCCCCACTGTCACCCAGCTACATGCCTGTTCCCCATCTGTCTTATCTCCTCCCTCTCCACTACCTGTCCCCACTAAACTCTGCTCAGTGAGCAGTAGACTCCTCTCAAGATTGTCAATCTCCCTCAATGTTGCGTTTTGCTTCTCGAGACCTCCAATCTGAGCTTCCAGAGAAGCCACTTGTAATTGCAATGACTGCCTTGCATGTTTGTCTATGATGGTCCTGCAGACAGTTTCCCATTGATTATTGTGTGCAGGGCCGGGGTGCACCTCTCCCTAATGCTAGAGGGTGGACCAATGGTCTGTAACACCTTAAGGTGCACACAATGTGGCCACTTAAAAAAAAGGCAAAGTAGGCACCTGCTTACCTGGACGGCAGGTGCCTACTGTGCCGAAATACTGTCCGGGGGGAGAAAAAAAAAGTCAGGCTGCAGTGGCGAGGGAGCGCTGATGCTCTTCCTGATCCCTCATGCCCCTTCTTTGGTGATGCCGGGACACGGAAAATGATGTAATTTGGGCTCTGCATCATTAAACAGCCACTGGACCCCAAGGAGAGGAACCACACCAGTTCTCCCAAATAAATCAACAACAAATAAAAATAATTTGTGAGTCTGAGTGCATGAATGTGTGAGTGTGCCTGTCAGCATATGTGTGTCTGTCAGTGTGTATTTCTGTTAGTGTATGTGTGTGTGTTTGTCAGTGAGTTTATGTCAGTGAGTGTGTCTGTCAGTGAGTGTGTTTCAAAGCTGGGAAATTGTTTCTGTCACTAAGAGTGTCAGTGTGTGTCAAATGAGTGAGTATGTGTGAGTCTGTCAGTGAGAGTGTGTGACTGTCAGTGAGTGTGTGT